GCACACGTATGTTTATTGCGGCACTATTCACAATAGCAAAGACTTGGAATCAACCCAAATGTCCATCAGTGACAGACTGGATTAAGAAAATGTGGCACATACATACCATGGAATACTATGCAGCCATAAAAAAGGATGAGTTTGTGTCCTCTGTAGGGACATGGATGCAGATGGAAACCATCATTCTCAGCAAACTATCGCAAGAACAGAAAACCAAACACTGCATGTTCTCACTCATAGGTGGGAACTGAACAATGAGATCACTTGGACTCGGGAAGGGGAACATCACACACCGGGGCCTATCACAGGGAGGGGGGAGGGGGGAGGGACTGCATTGGGAGTTATACCTGATGTAAATGACGAGTTGACGGGTGCTGACGAGTTGATGGGTGCAGCACACCAACATGGCACAAGTATACATATGTAACAAACCTGCACGTTATGCACATGTACCCTAGAACTTAAAGTATAATTGAAAAAACGAAAAAGAAAAAGAAATTTAACTAAGGAGGTGAAAGAGCTCTACAAGAAAAACTACAAAACACTGATGAAAAAAATTGCAAACACCAATAAATGGAAAAACATCCCAAGTTCATGAATTGAAAGAATCAATATGATTTAAATGACCATACTGCCCAGAGAAATCTACAGATTCAGCACAATTCTTATCAAATTATTAATGTTTTTTCCACAGAATTGGAAAAAAAACAATCCTAAAGTTCATAAGGAAGCAAAAAAAAAAAAAAAATAGCCAAAGCAGTCCTAAGCAAAAATAAAAACTCAGGAAGCATCACACTGCCTAATTTCAAACTATACTACAAGTCTGCAGTAACTAAAACAGCATGGTACTGGTACAAAAATAGACACATAGGCTGGGCATGGTGGCTCATGCCTATAATCCCAGCACTTTGGGAGGCCAAGGTGAGTGGATCACTTGAGGTCAGGAGTTCGAGACCAGCCTGGCCAACATGATAAAACTCCATTTCTACTAAAAATACAAAAATTAGCCAGGTGTGGTAGCATATGCCTATAGTACCAGCTACTCAGGAGTCTGAGGTGAGAGAATCACTTGAACCCAGCAGGTGGGGGTTGCAAACAAGCAAAGATTACGCCAGCCTGGGCAACAGAGCTAGACTCTGTCGGAAAAAAAAAAAAGATACATAGGTCAACAGAACTGAACAGAGAACTAAATAACATCAGATACTTACAACCAACTGATCTTTTTTGTTAACAAAGTTGACAAAAATACACAATGGAGAATGGACACCCTATTCAATAAATGGCGCTGGGAAAATTGGCTAGCCATATGCAGAAGAATGAAACCAGACCCCTTATCTCTTACCATATACAAAAATTAACTGAAGATGGATTAAAGACCTACATGTAAGACCTGAAACTATAGAAATCCTAGAAGAAAACCTAGGGAAAAACTCTTCTAGACATTGTCCTAGGCAAGGAATTTATGACAAAGACATCAAAAACAAAGGCAACAAAAATAGACAAATGAGACTTAATTAAACTAAGAAGTTCCTGCACAGCAAGAGAAATAATCGACAGAGTAAACAGATAAACTACACAATGGGAGTAAATATTTGTAAATTATGCATTCAACTAAGAATCTACAAGAAACTCAAACAATTGAACCAGAAAAAAACAAACTCCATTAAAAACCCCAAAGAACAGAAACAGACATTTCTCAAAAGGAATGTAAATGGCCAACAAACAAATGAAAAAAAATGTTCAACATCACTAATATTCAGGGAAAAGTAACTTAAAACCACACCAAGATATCATCTTACAGCAGTGAAAACGGCTATTCTTTTTTTATTTTTATTTTTATTTTTGAGACAGTTTCATTCTTGTTGGCCAGACTGGAGTGCGACGGCACAATCTTGGCTCACCGCAACCTCCACCTCCCAGGTTCAAGTGATTCTCCTGCCTCACCCTCCCGAGTAGCTGAGACTACAGGTGCACGCCATCACGTCCGGCTAATTTTTTGTATTTTTAGTAGAGACAGGGTTTCACTATGTTGGCCAGGTTGGTCTCAAACCCCTGGCCTCACGTGATCCGCCCACCTTGTCCTCCCAAAGTGCTGGGATTATAAGCATGAGCCACCATGCCGGGCCAAAAATGGCTATTCTTAAAAAGTCAAAAACGGCCGGACACTGGGGCTCACGCCTATACTCCCAGCACTCTGGGAAGCCGAGGTGCGTGGATCCCCTGAGATTGGAAGTTCAGGACCAGCCTGACCAACACGGAGAAACCCCGTCTCTACTAAAAATACAAAATTAGCCAGGCATGGTGGCGCATGTCTGTACTCCCACCTACTTGGGAGGCTGAGACAGGAGAATCACTTGAACCCAGGAGGCAGAGGTTGCGGTGAGCCGAGAGCATGCCATTTCACTCCAGCCTGGGCAACAAAAGCGAAACTCCGTCTCAAAAAAACTCAGTCAAAAACAACAGATGTTGACATGAATATGGAGAAAAGGGGATGCTTCTACACTGTTGGTGGAAATGTAAATTAGTTCAATCTCTATGGAAAACAGTATAGAGATTTCTCAAAGAACTAAAAATAGAACTACCATTCGACCCAGCAATCCCACCACTGGGTATCTATCCAAAGGAAAAGAAATCATTAATTTAAAAAGGACATGCACTTGTATGTTCATCACAGTACTAGTCACAATAGCGAAGTCATGGAACCAAACTAAGTGTCTATCAGCAGTTGATTATTTGAATAAAGAAAATATGGTTATACACACCATGGAACACTATGCAGCCACAGAAAGAATGAAATCATGTCCTTTGTGGCAACACACATGGAGCTGAAGGCCATTACCCTAAGTGAACTAACTCAGAAACAGAAAATCAAAAATAGCATGTTCTCACTTACAAATGGGAGCTAAACAATGGGTACACATGATGATGAAAATGAAAATACACAGTGGGGACTCCAAAAGGGGGAGGGAGGAGGCAGCAGAGGGTTGAAAAGTCACTTATCGGGTACAATGTTCAATATCTGGATGATGGATACATTAGAAGCCCAATCCCCACCCTCACACAATATACCTGTGTAACAAACATGCACGTGTACCCTGTGAATCTTAAAACAAAACAAAGATATACGGCTTCTTAAGATTTTATAGTCAAAGAGCATTTTCACTGAAAGAGACTGGTACCCCAAAATTTAATTCAATTTTACAATTCCATACTCAGCCCCAAAGCTAAAACAATTAGAAACTAATAAATGCTAGCTCTTATGAAAATACTATGTAAGGACATTTGTCTAGAAATATTTCGAGATGAAAGCACAACATCTGATTCACAAACTCCTTGTGAAGGCCACTATGCTGTCTGGTCTCTGTACATAACACCAGATATTAGCATATATTCCTGAAGAGGGAAAACTGGTGCATATTCAGGCTATGCATCTATGAAGGGAGTTATTTCCCCTCAAAGGCAATATGTAACTATTTACATATTACCTCCACTTCCAAATGGGCAGTCCACCACATGAGAATACATCCACAAGACCCAAGGGACAATTTATACATCTTTATCTTGAATGTTTCCAGCACTCAAGGGAAATGCTTTACAGATAGAAACATTAGAAGATACCATTGTGTCACTACACTTACTTGTATGCCTCTTGTTTTGTTTGAAAAGAATTAATTTGAAAGTTATTTTTATAAGATATACTGGAAAATCAAGAGAAAGAACAAAAGGGAATATAAATACAGAATTCAGTAAGATGTAACATATCTAGTAGTTACAGACAGACTTAAGGATAAGATCTCAAAGAATTTATCCAAAAAAAATAATTTTCTTCAGTAGTTTCTTGATTTTTGTACATTCCAGAGGCTAGAGATTTAGTAGATTTAGCTTTACCAAATAGCTACTTTAGTTACCACATCCTAATTTTGTCAAGAACTATTTCATATTAATTCATATTAATCTCAAGATACAATAACTATGCAACCAGCAAAAACAAAACCAAAAATAGCAATCTTCTTTTAGAAGATTTCTTTCTATATTCACATGCAGGGTACTAAATGGAATTAAAAGAATTTTACCTTTCTTTTTGAAGATTGAAATTTACCTTTTTCCTTAAGACATAAATAAAATTCCTAGTGCATACAGTATCTTCACTTACTATGATGACCTTAATAAATAAATTGATAAATAACTGAAAAAGTCAACAAAATGTGAACATGTGTGATTTAATTATTAAAACAAATGGCTGAACCCTTGTTTAGATATAATTGTTAGCATATAGTTAATGTCAATTAAATTATTCTTTTTTTTTTTTTTTCTTTTTTTGAGACAGGGTCTCACTCTGTTGCCCAGACTGGAGTGCAGTGGTGCGATCTCAGCTCACTACAACCTCTGCCTCCCAGGCTCAAGTGATTCTCCTGCCTCAGCCTCCTGAGTAGCTGGGATTACAGGCGCGTGCCACCAGGCCTGAATAATTTTTGTATTTTTAGTAGAGACGGGGTTTCACCATGTTAGTCAGGCTGGTCTCGAACTCCTGACCTTAAATGATCCACCTGCCTCAGCCTCCCAAAGTGCTGGGATTACAGGTGTGAGCCATCACACCCAGCCCTGTCAATTAAATTATTCTATGCCCAGGTTTCTAATCTACCAATGAAGACAGAAGTTACTCCTGCCTCCTGATTTCTAAAAAGTCAGAAACTACTTTCCTTAATACCACTACTGTGGTCATCTCAATGCTATACTTTAATAGGATGAAGTTCTTTATATAAAACCAAGCTTAAACAATTAAGGTTCTACAGAGTCTGGACTTAATGACAACTGCCAAACATTTATAAATCCTTAAGAGTTCAATTATTAGTTGCACAATTAAAACCAAACCAAAGCAAATGAACTAGTAAGTTAAACATTTATTACTGGTAATCACCTATGGAGCATAGGTATTTATTACGGAAAATCCTTCAACACTTGCTCCATTACAAATAATCCAAACACAGGCCACGTCTTACCTTGTTTTCTGCATAAGCAAGCCAGCGGCTCCCAAGAGCAATAGGATTCATGTTTGGCCCTGGACATGGATAGCAGCCTGAAAAATTTCAAATGGCACTATTGAGAAATTTCTTAATAACTTTTCTGTTGGTGCATCATGTCGATGCCAGAAAAACAGAAAAATCAAATGCTTATATTTTTTTAAGTCTCACATAAAATTCCCGTAACACTAGTAATTATTTTGTTAGCTAAGCATTTTTCGCCCTCTATTTAGTTTCCTTTTGGCTTAATTCTTTCCCAATAAGAAACAAATCTGGAAAGAACTGGTCATCACTTTCAGCAAACACTGGGCATTTTATACAGTTATTCCTAAACAATAGAATGAAGTTAAGAGGGGTCATTTTAAGTCTAACACTCATAAATCAAGGAAGAATTTTGGGAGAGGAGAGAGAAATTGTATGATGGGTTCAGGAATTTAAAGGCAAAAGAAAATGAGACTATCAGACATGATACTACAATGGGGAGAGAAAAAGAACGAGTATTTGACCTCATTGAGGCCAATGAGGACAAGTAACTCTGAAAGGCTGCCTCCACAGAAAGATGTTGGGGAACTGCATAATCCTTTGTATTTACATTTCACTCAATATCATTCTTCTTGTTTGCAGTTCTAGCCAATAACAACAGTTAATTGTTCTATGACATATATTTACTGTTTATTTTCTATCTTCCTCCAACTTGATTAGAGGGATATGTAAATTGAAGAATCTGTTTTCTTCACCACTGGCTCTCCCCTGCCACCACTCCCTGCTCATTCTGACTATGTTCCTATTGCTATGCTCAAAAGCACTAAAGAAGCACACCTTACTGTCACTTCCAGTACACAGCCATTTTTAGCCCAGCTCCCTAAACTGCCACCTATCTTGAATTTTTGTCTTGAAAAGAAAATAATAAACTTATAGAGAAGAGACAGACCCTAAAACAAAGTCCACATAAATAAAAGCTTTCTCATTTTATTGCTCACTTTTTAAAAAACTGTTCATTTATGCTACTGTTTGAAGGAATATATTCGCAATACTTTGGGTTTCTGGAAAACTGACCTCAGGTTAACTAAAATATTACTATTATCTATTAAATGCATATTATGGAAACATATATAGGACAAAAACGCACTAAAATTGTACAAAGACAACATACTCTAATATAAATTATGTAGTATTTACACAATAGATTAGATTCTTATTGAATAAATTAATCTTATTCATTAAAATATAATTTTATATGAGTATATATACATGTATTCCATTGACAATTTCAGAGCTGAAGAAATGAGGATAAATATGATCTATAAGAAAGTTTTCCCCCTTTTAAAATTTGTCATGAAAAACAGAACCAAGTACCTGTGAACTGTGGTGTCACATTAGACATAGCTAATCTCCTGAATTAGCTTTAAAACTAAATAATCTAACTCTCGGTCAATTCTGATAACCACTTTAACCTTACAAATACAAAAGGATCCTAAGGAAAAACAGTTTACAATTCTTCATTTCATCTTTTGAGTCCATATTTTTAGAGTTCAGTGGACCTCAAGAATTACAGTATATTGTAATGAAAACAACCATTTTCCTGCTTGCCAAAAGAATGCTTTATAGCTGGAATCAGAGAACATAAGCCACTTAGCACCATCCCAACCTTATAAGCATGACTCCTTTAAAGATTAACCTTTGACTCTAGGTAAACTCTGAAAACAAGTGAAGGGGTTGGGGGAACATGAAAGTCTATAATACTAGGCCTAACTCTAACATATTTACAATGTTTTTGGACAAAGAAAGAGAACTGGATGTTAAAAGAACTCATTTCCCAATTTAAATGAACGTAAAAAATTTTTAGAAGCACACTGTATTTTTCCATTACTAAAAAAGTAATTAAGAAGGGTACACAAGCATGATGCAATTTTAGATGGCATCCTCCCAGAAAGTGGTCCCAATGGAGAGGTGACCCGAACTCATTTCAAAAAACAAAAAACTGAACTGTGATACTTTGCCTTATTTTTCGTGGCAAGGACAAATAAAAAGTCTGAGCTCTTTTTTTTTAAGAAAACAGGTATTTACATTTATAAGTCAGCTGATTTTCAACAAGAATACCAAGACAAGTCAATGGTAAAAGAAGTCTTTTCAACAAATGGTGCTGGGACTACTGGATATCCAAATGCAAAAGCATTTAGACTGGAATGAAGGTGGACCCCCAGCTCACACCACATACAAAAATGGATCAAAGGCTTAAATATAAAAGTTAAACAATCAAATTCTTAGAACAAAATACTGCAAATTTTCATGACCTTGGATTAGGCAATGGTTTCTTACATAGGACAAAAGAAAAATACATAAATTGGACTTCATCAAAACAAATGCAAATTTAACATGCTTTAAAGGACACCATCAGGAAAGTGAAAACACCAGGCCAGGTGTGGTGGCTCACGTCTGTAATCCCAGCACCTTGGGAGGCCGAGGCAGGCGGATCATGAGGTTAGGAGATCGAGACCATCCTGGCTAACACGGTGAAATCCCGTCTCTACTAAAAATACAAAAAATTAGCTGGGTGTGGTGGCGGGCGCCTGTAGTCCCAGCTACCTGGGAGGCTGAGGCAGGAGAATGGCATGAACCCAGGAGGCAAAGCTTGCAGTGAGCCAAGATTGTGCCACTGCACTCCAGCCTGGGAGACAGCGAGACTCTGTTTCAAAAACAAACAAACAAAAACAAAAAACAAAATAAAGAAAAAAGAAGTGAAAAGACAATCTAAAGAATGAGGGAATATTTTTTGCAAAAAATATATCTGATAAGTGACTTATATCTATAATATAAAAACCACTCAGTATTGAAAAGACAAATAATTTTAAAATGGACAAAGATATACAAATGGCAAATAAGCACACTAAAAATGGTCAGTGTCATTAGCCATCAGGGAAATTCAAATTTCAAAATTACAAAAACTTGTAGCTAAATGTTCATACCCAAGAGAACATATGTCCACTGAAAAACCTGTGCACTGGTGTTCATACAAGCATTATCGACAACAGCCCAAAAGTAGAAACAAATCAAATATCTGTTAACTAATGATCAGATAAAATGTGGCATATGGCTGGGCACAGTGGCTCACGCCTGTAATCCCAGCACTTTCAGAGGCCGAGGGAGGTGGATCACAAGGTCAAGAGATCAAGACCATCCTGGCCAATATGATGAAACCCCATCGCTACTAAAAATACAAAAATTAGGTGGGTGTGGTGGTGGGCGCCTGTAATCCTAGCTACTTGAGAGGCTGAGGCAGGAGAATCATCTGAACCCAGGAGGCAGAGGTTGCAGTGAGCTAAGATTGCGCCACAGCACTCCAGCCTGGCGAGAGAGAGAGACTCCATCTCAAAAAAAAACAAAAAACAACAACAAAAAAAATGTGAACATCCTCCCCAGAAAAACACATAAGCATATAAAACATTAAATACCATTTCACAGATTTGTTTAACCATCATACAGCTGATTAACAACTCTCATAAGTTTTTATGAGTTTTGAGTTTAAAACTCCTGTTTTATTTTCGGTTTACTTTTCATGTATATGAAGCATACCATGAATTTCAGAGTACTGCCATTCTAAGACTCAATGGATGAGAACTGTGTGCAGAGAATGAAAAAGTCACAAGTTAGTTCATTGCATACATATTCACTGAGTGTCCAGTATGTATCCGGCACCAGCACATGCCCTAAAAACATCATAGTGACCTTGTCCATCTTATGGAGAACCCAGAAAAACAAACATAGGTTTAACTTTTAATGTAAGCTGAATTTAGAACTCACACTAACCTATCGATGAATTATCATAAATATTACAAACTTGTTTCTTCATATAAAAGCAAAGCTCCTCTTTCAAAACTTAAAGATAATTTTGCATTTTAAAGTAAAATTTCCATTCCCATTTGTTCTATTTGTTATCAATCATTAACATAAATGAAGAACACAATAAAACCAAGAAATAACACTAAGATTATAAGCAATAAGTTTTCTCCTCCAAGTAAAAATAGAGGCCAATGGAACAAGATTGCTTACTGAACATTCCTTTGATCTCTCTGGAGACTTCATATCTACCTTTCAATTTAAGAACACTGAAAATGACTGCTAATGACATCTATTGATCTTTGTCTTTTGTTTTCCTAATCATACATGGGTTTTGGATTTCCACATCAGACAGCTGCCCAAGGCGACTTTTTCTTTATATCCAAATACAAAGGTGTCTCCTTTCTCATCATATTGGATGCGTTCCATTAACAGTCCTCTATCAGCTCTCTTTACCTGTTCCTTCCACCCTTTGGCAAAAATTCCCATGATGCTTGCTCTGATGGACACAGCTGTCTCTACTTATTTTACAGTCCCTTCATTGTATTCGTATATAACCAATGCACTAAAAAGGTATTATACAAAACCTTTTCAAACTATTTTAGAAGATAACTGCTTGCATGATCAAAACAACATCTTCATTAAGTGGAGATCTTGTCATTTGACAGGGGCTATGTAGTCCTACTTTAAGAACTAGGTACCAATAAATGGAGAAAAACTATGTGCTACAGGCAAATGAACTACTACAAATGCTATCTCAGTGTACCCTGTCCCACCCGCTCCCTACATCCCAGTATCCTGTCCTCCGATCTCTATAACCTATACCTTTCAGTCTAACAGGCAAAACCAGCTTACAGGCATGGGATTCACCTGACAAAAGTTTCAGTCTGTAGAAAGGAATAGGGAGAAGATGCAGAAACTGGAGGAAAATAAGATTCTTTCAACTTATGAAGTGGCACCCTTTGTTCTTTAATTTTAAAAATCTGGTCATGGTAAATTTTGCTCTAAATATTGATATAAACCACTTTAAAGGAAGCTGTAATTTCAAAGAAAATTGGCCAAATTCCTTCATTCAAATATTTGCAGAATATCATCAATCTTACCAACCTAAAATCATATGTCATATGCATAAATTTGACCCCACTAAGAATGACATACTTCCTAAGAGAAATATGAAATAAAATACATTACTAGTATTGGTAAAGGTATTTGTAGATGAACAGGTAAGGGGGACCTATAGTGAAAGGCTACATCAAATTGTATCCAGAGTACAAAGAAAGAAATCACAAACATATGTTACTGTTGCTTTCTGAACTTTTTCATATTAAGTGTGTATTGAAATATAATATACATGCAGCATTACCCAAATCAACAAAGTGAACACATATTGAACACATAAATAACAACCAGACCAAAAAAAAGGACATTATAGATTCCCCAAAGCACCCTCTTATACTCCCTTTCAGTCACTACTCTTCCCAAGGAGATGCACTATCCTACCTTCTGACAACTATATTAAAATTAAAAACATCTTTCCTCACGGAGGCTCATGCCTGTAATTCTAGCACTTTGGAAGGCCAAGGAGGGCAGATCACCTGAGCTCAGGAGTTTGAGACCAGCCTGGACAACATGGTAAAACGCCATCTCTACTAAAAATACAAAAATTAGCCAGGCATGGTGGTGCAAGCCTGTAGTCCCAGCTACTCGGGAAGCTGAGGCACGAGAATTGCTTGAGCCCAGAAGGTGGAGGCTGCAGAGAGCCGAGAACATGCCACTGCACTCCAGCCTGGGCAAAAGAGTGAGACTCCATCTCAAAAAAAAAAAAAAAAAAAAAAAAAAGACATTACTGGGCTTATATACATAGTTAATTACACTTATTTCCAACATTTATTCCCAGAAATGACAGAACGTACTTTTATTTACTACTCTTTTTTCAACATTTTAACCATTTAAGTAACATACATTTCAGATTTTATGAAATCCACACTAAATAGATTTTAAGGAATGCCCAACCCATGGGAACCATTATGCAAACATTACTCTGAAAGAATAAGTGATAATCTTTATGGGTCAGGAATTACTAAAAATTCATCACTGTGGACCTCCAGCCACTTGACCAGGACTTAACTAAAAGCTGTATTTCACTTTTAAAGTACCTTTCTATGGTACCACAAACACTGTTGACCCCTCTAGATTTCTTCTTCCTGTAGTGAAGAATTCACAGAATACAAGAGAGACTAATGCTTTAACAAAACTTGTTTTATCTATTCAGTGGTCCAGCAATTCAGGGGGAAGTATTCAGGAATACATGGCAAAGATGTCCCAAAAAGACATTAAGGAAAAAGGAAAGCATGAAAGGCATTAAGAAAGACTGCTAACAACTCAGTCAGTCTCCTGTTCGCTTTTATCAAATTTGACTTATGTTTCGTGCTTACTAAAAGTTTGCAGAACAGAAGATCCCATTTTCAAAGAGGAAATCCTTTAGAGATAGACAGGAGAGGTACTGCAGATACGACACAGATACTTAAGAGCTGACGCCTATGAAGACATAATTTTCTAACAAACTTATCCTTTCCAAAATTTCTGGATTTACCCCAATGTGACTTGTAAGAGAGAAATTTCATTTATCTCTATATATAGTGTGTGTGTGTGTATTCATTTCTTAAAATATTCACCACTTACTTTTAATTTCCAACTCAGACCTATAAAGATCTGTACTGATCCTATATAAATAACTTTATTCCTCATCTGATAACTATTGGCAGAGAAACATTACATTTTCAGACATACTATTATCACAAACATTTTCGTTAACTAAACATCCTGAAAAAAAAAAAACTTGTGCTTTGAAACCAGAACATAATTTTGATAAATGTATTCATCTTTAGTGAACTGGGTTTTATCATTAAAAGAACAAAAAAATCATTAATATTTTTACGTTGGCAAGGACATAATAGACACACTATGCCTTCCATGGTAAAACTTTATTTCCTCAATCCAAAACAAACTGAGTAACTCTCCTCTCAGTGAGATTACTGTCTAGCGGGAAACCGACAGAAAATGTATACAAGATAGAATGTAAGTGCCTTAAGAGAGGCAGAGATGACATACTACAAAAGCATTCCCAAAGGGTGTTGGGTAACAAATGAGGTCTGTTATCAAATAAATATGGGAAATAAAGAAATGTATTAAATAAATTTAAACAGACAAAATACTAATCACCATTGCCAGTTTCAACAGAAGGTAGCATTTTCTAAGCATATTTCATCAGGGCATCCTGATTTGCAAAGTATGTTGAAAATCTAATGCTCTGCCAACAGACAGCGGGAAATGTTATCTTTAGGGGATTTAGAAGGAGAAGTTGCTGTAAGCTAAAGGGGTCAACAAAGACTTCATATAAGAATTACTATCTACACTGGGCCCAGAAAGATATATAGGATTAAAACATCATAAGGAGAAGAGGTATTAGTGAAAAGGCCATTCCAGTCACGAAGACAAAGGAAAAATATACCTCTAACAAAATGAGAATAATGAGTGATTCAAATTAAATGGGACATAAGAAGCATGAAAATTGAGTTGCAGAAAAGATTTAGCAAGGATGCTAAACTTTCCTAAAGTAGGTTTTGGTATACCAAAAACCTTGGGAGTTTCATTGGTAGTAAATGGACAAGATAACCATATATCTGTGTTCACTCAGGACTTTACAAGTTTACATATGTTGATCAGAGTTAAATCCAGTATGGCAACTGTGCAAATCAAAAGACTGCAGTTTGGATAATTATATACTCACTTGGTAATTTTTCAAGTTCTTATCTTTCAGACGTAGATAATAAATATGTACAAATTAAATTCTATAATGCCTGCAATATGCTTCAAAATAATTGGGGAAGGGGTATAAATGAAAAAGACTATCCATTATTTGATAGTTGTTGAAACTAGATAATAAATGCATGGGTGTTTATCATACTACTACTCTAATTATATACATGTATATATTTCCCAAAATAAAAAGTTATTGCTTGTGGCCTTTACAGGAAAAGAAATGGCATATCTGTGGCACTAGAAATTTAATTAAGATACAGTATTTTTGCCATAGCAAAAATGTATATTATTACATGTTTACATAATAAGCCAAATTATTGAAAATTGAAGACATTTATATATTTAAGATACATTTAACCATTTCAAATAGCAATAAAAACTAAGAAGAATACATACTCTATTCTCCCTTCTGAGTAAAAGGTTTTTCCACTCTTATCTCTGTCATATATGGTTTAAATTGAGAAATTATAGTAAAATTGGTAATATGAAATTGCTAAATTGCTTTCTTTGAAAATGTGCCAACTTCTATACGGATTCTGCCAATATATTTTCCAAGGCTTTACATGTTTACATTTTTTTCCATCATACAGAAAATCTGTAAGTTGACCCAAATGAGGACTCACCACAAATTCTCCTATTACAAAATCTCAAGCTGCCAAATACTCCCACAGAAAAGCTGCAAATATTATCAATTTACAAATACAAACAAAACTTTTAAAGGAAATTCTGCTTACAGCCTTATAAGTACCTAACTTTATTTAACAGTATGGAAGGTTTTTAAACACTCTTTTAAAACATAAGTAATTATTTGAAAAATATGGTTTTTTAACCTTTTGGTTAAATGACAGATACTAATGTTAGTAGAAACAAATTTTGCTCATATGTAAAGGTATAACGTATAAAAATATGGTATGTTAAGCAATTTGACAATTGCTTTGAAAGTATGAAACAGCTACATGAAACTAAATCACAATTACTCAAGGAGAGTATGTAGGGAGAAAGTGAGGTAACCTACAACAAAGCTTGCTTAGTAGCCTGTAATCCCAGCACTTTGGGAGGCCGAGACGGGCAGATCACGAGGTCAGGAGATCGAGACCATCCTGGCTAACACGGTGAAACCCCGTCTCTACTAAAAAAATACAAAAAGCTAGCCGGGCGAAGTGGCGGGCGCCTGTAGTCCCAGCTACTCGGGAGGCTGAGGCAGGAGAATGGCGCAAACCCAGGAGGCGGAGCTTGCAGTGAGCTGAGATCCGGCCACTGCACTCCAGCCTGGGCGACAGAGCGAGACTCCGTCTCAAAAAAAAAAAAAAAAAAGAAAGAAAGAAAGAAAATGTGTTGGAAAGTTGAAAATATATATCATACAATTATATTACTCAATGAGAACAACCACAGAATCACAAGAAAATCATCAAAACTGAAAACATTAAATACTGTTGAGAAAATTACAGTTAGTTTTCTGATTGTGTCAAGTAATTAGTATAAACCCAAAGGCATAAGGGAAAAAAAATTGGTACATACTTGTAACAAAGAATTTCTTCGTGAAAGTACAGCTATCAAAGGCAGCAATTTTCTCCTGCAAGACTACAACAAGGATCCTAAAATTAGAGGGGGGAAGAAAAAGAAAGAAAAAAGTGAATGTGAAATTCTGTAAGTGGAATCAGAAATGCATTATATCATCTAGATGAAAACAAGTGCCTACTAATACAATTTTAAAATTAAACATTTCCTATAATATTTAGGCTAGAAACTTCTGCCTCTTAAAATGTGTAAAAATATAAACCACGAAATCGTATATACAAGTAAGATAGAGATGACTAGAAGAAAAGTGATGGAAGGAAAAACTACCACCTCAAAAAATATTTGTCTTTTAATAAAGTTTTGTTTTGGCTAGGCATGGTGGCTCATGCCTACAATCCCAACATTCCTGGAGGCCAAGGCAGAAGGATCACTTGGGCCCAGGAGGTCGAGACCAGCCTGGGCAACACAGGAAGACCCTGTCTCTATAAGAAATAATAAAAATAAATTAGCCAGGTGTGGTGGTGTGAGCCTGTAGTCCTAGCTACTCAGGAGGCTGAGGCAGGAGGATCACTTGAGCCCAGGAGGTCGAGGCTGCAGGGAGTTATGATCGCGCCACTGCACTCCAGCCTAGGCAACAGCAAGATCTCATCTCTAAAAATAAAAATGCATAAAATAAAGTTTTGTTTTCATTTATTTTTGAATCCAATAAGTCTACATTAAAGATGGATAAGATCAAGCCCAGCACAGTGTTGCACATCTGTGATCCCAGCTACTCAAGAGGCTGAGGCAGGAGAAACACTTGAGCCCAGGAGATTGAGACCAGCCTAGGCAACATAGTGAGATGCTGTCTCAAAAGGAAACAAAAAAGAAGAAAAAAAAGAATGGAGAAGATAATACATTGTTGGCTATCTACTAAAAGTGTTTTTCCAGTGATGTTTTAGTCATGGTATTAAAGATAAAATGGATTTATGTAACCTATCACTTTAAGTTGAAATGGCAGATGAATTTCCCAACACATACAAATCTAAGACAACTGCTACTCATAAATAAGTTATTTCTGATTGACTCAATATAGTAAAATTCACTAAGAATCTGTAAAAGCAATATTTTTCTCAATGCCCAAGATTTAGAAATAATTAGAAAATAATTTAGTTATAAACAATTTTTTAAAGCAAAATTCCTAAAATACATCCAAAGCCACTATTTTATGTTGTGCTATTCCTTCCAGGATATTAATATAAATGGCCAAGCTTAATATTTACCTCAAAAAATCAAATAAAGATTATAATTGTTACTAAATATCTAACAAACTAATAGCTTATTTTTCAAAATTGGAGGCTGGTAAATCTGAGCAACAGATGCTAATATGAGTAGAAAAAAGGAAAATGTATTATTTCATATGCATGCTTTATTAATTTTATTCATCTTTAAAAACAACAATTTCATTTACTGATGCAGAATAATTCTAACGAGTGACTACTGTTAGATCCTTGTGATTTTTTTTTTCTAGCTGGGCCTGTTAAAAACTTTTCTATATATATTTTACTGGGTTGTTTGCTATTAATAAATGACAATTTGCTATACATGCGTATGTGTAGTCTGAATATACAAAAAGATAGAGACAATATCCTTATAAAGGAGATAATATGAAATTTTAGAATTAATTGTAAATTCCATTTCTGCTCTGTTACTATACTAAAGCCTCAAATCACCTCATCTACATATTATATCAACTTAATACCCTTTTAATGCCCTGACAGAAGAAAAGGCATTTCCATGTTTAAATATTAATTACCAACATATGTACTATACCTTTACACACAGTGTTTGACAGAAAATATCAAATAATGGAACACACACAAAAAAACATGCACCACTATGAAGAGTCAATGGAACCAAAGAGAAAGTATTTATGGGGGGGGGGTGTGTGTATACATAAAGATATATACATACGGATATATATGGGGTAGGTGTATATACATACAGATGTATACATACAGATATATATGAGGTGTGTATGTGTGTATATACATACACATACATACATACAGATATATATAGGGTGTGTGTGTATGTGTGTATATACATAAAGATAAATACATACAGACATATATGGGGTGTGTGTATATACATACAGGTATATACATACAGACATATATGTGGTGGGTATGTGTTAATATACATACAGGTATATACATACAGATATATATGGGGTGTGTGTATATATACATACAGATATACACATACAGATATATATGGGGTATATGTGTGTTGTGTGTATATACATACAGATATATACATACAGATATATATGGGGTGTCTGTGTATGTGTGTATATACATACAGATATATATGGGTGTGTGTGTATATACATACAGATATATATGGGGTGTGTATGTGTGTATATACATACAGACATATGTGGGGTGTGTGTATATACATACAGGTATATACATACAGACATATATGTGGTGGGTGTGTATGTGTTTATATACATACAGACATATACATACAGATATATGGGGTGTGTGTATGTGTGTATATACACACAGATATATACATACAGATATATATGGGGTGTGTGTGTATGTGTGTATATACATATAGATATATATGAGGTGTGTATATATACATACAGATATATATGGGGTATGTGTGTATGGGTGTATATACATACAGATATATACATACAGATAGATATGGGGTGTGTGTATGTATATATATACAGATATATACATACAGATATATATGAGGTGTGTGTATGTATATACATACAGATATATACATACAGATATATATGGGTGTGTGTGTATGTGTGTGTATACATACAGATATACCATACTATATTTAAGTGTATATACACACGTACACACACATGCACATATTATATTAACACATATATATACACATATACACATACAAGCACATAATCTCATTCCTTCTCATAATTTATAAACATAGAATATTTAAAACTAGAAACTGTCAGACTGGATAATGATACTATATTATGTCTACACCAACGAATTCAAACACACAACTAACTTAAAACTGAAAAATGGAAAAATACGTACCATACGTATAGTAACAAAAGAGCTGAAATGGATATATTATTATCAGATAAACATTAAGAACAAGTATATCACTATTAATGAAGGATGGTTCATAAAGGGTCATAATAACCATAAATGTATATGAATCCAATAACAGAAACTCGAAAGATTTAAGAAAAATATAATTACAATCCTATACAAATTATCATAGAAAATTCCAAAAAAAGAAATACCTTCCTAAGTGTCTAATGAATGAAACAAAACAACAGACAAGGCATAACAAGAAAAAGAAAATATACATGAATCTCCCTCATGAACATAGATGCAAAAATTAAATCCAGGAATATATAAAAAGGATTATAGATAATTACCCCTAGGGTGAAACCCAGGGTGTAAGAACAGTTTAACACTGGGAAATCATCCAATATAATTTATTCTTTTAACAAATTGAAAAGGAAATACATAATCATCTTCATATTGACTTCACTAAATACAATGCCCGGTTATGAAAAAAAAAAAAAAAACAACCATTGGCAAACTGGAAAATAAACTGCTGAACTTGCTAATCAACACATACCTCACACTACTTCCCTATAAATAAACCTACAGCTAGAAATAAAACCAAATATCTAGGTAGACTGATCAAGAAAATAGAGAGACTGGGCACAGTGGCTCATGCCTCTAATCCCAGCCCTTTGGGAGGCCAAGACAGGAGGACCACCTGAACTCAGGAGTTCTAGATCAGCCTGGACAACATATTGGGGCCTTGTCTCTACAAAAAAAATGTTAAAAAAAATTAGCCAGGCACAGTGGCACATGCCTGCAGTTCCAGATACAGGAAGGCTGAGGCAAGAGGACTGCTTGAGCTTGGGAGTTTAAGGATGCAGTTAGCCGTGATGGTGCCACTGCACTTCAGCCTGGGTGACAGAGTGAGATCCGGTCCTCCCAACCCCCCAAAAAGAAAAGAAAATAGAATTCACAAATTACCGACATCACTAGATATCCTACAGCCATTAAATTAACAATGTAGGAATTTACAAACAACTTAATCTGTTACAATGTTACAAACAACTTAATTCCAATAAATTAGAAAACTTAATGGACAAATGACTGGAAAGACCATTGTCAAAACTATTGATAAATTATCAAGACAAATTATCAAAACTTGTGCTAGACAGAACTTTAAAATCTTAACAGACTTGTAAATATAAAATAAATTGAATTTGTAATTGAAAATGTTCCTACAAATAAATGGTATTATCTTTCATGGTTAGATTTAGAATTCACATGGCATTGTTTTTTGTTTAGGAGTCAAGACTTGAGCTTTTTCTGTATCAATATCTGAGTGCTGGAGCAATAATTATTGAAAAAACTTACCTGCAGCGGAAACTTTGTAAGTCACATGTCCAAAGAGGGTTGTGTGTGTCTAATCTGAGATTCTATTCTGTTACACTGGTACACTTATCTATCTTTTCATTAGCATCAGACCTTATAAATTACTGTTTTATTGGGGGGTTATAACGGGGGAGCGGTAAATGTTCTGAGTCAGTGTTGCTACCTTGTTTCAGTAAGGCTTACATCATATCTTCTCCCTATTACATTTATTTATTTGAAGACTTACTACCCTTAAAATTGCCTGCCATACTGCCAGAAGGAATTTTCAAGGATACATCTGTTCCTGCAGGCTTCCCCAGACCCTTTTGATCCCTTAGTGCTTTAAACTACCAGGTCTCCAACACAGCCTATGCTTCTGGGAGTGAACCATAGTTTACTTATGTCCCTTCTGCATCAATAAATTCCCAACATAGTCTCCTTTCTGCCACATCATACACTCTGTCATATCACCTCTTGCAAGGACTCCTGAATAAGCTCTACCATCCTCAAATTTAAAATTTCTAGTTGTAGTATTCACTCTTGTGTAGTTATATGAATTAAGCATGGGCTACAGGTGATTTTATATGTATATGCAGCCTCACCTCTATTTGATTCCATTTATTGATACATATGCTTTTTGGAGAATGAGGAACAATTCAGATATAGGTGACTACATTTATCTGTGGGGGACCTGAAACTTTTAAATAAAGTACCTAAGCAACTGAGCAACTATATCTTGCTATTAATTCTCAGATGATATACAATTACAGTTTTGATTTCCTCTTTAAAATGGAGCAAACATTTTAAATTAAGGAGGAAAGCAAATAAGAGAAAGAGTTTTGTGTTGTTGTTTTTTGATTTCTAGTATATTTATGTAATTGAAATACAGGGAAGCTGTGGTCTAAGAATCTTCTCTGTACTTTTTGTATGTGTTCACATTATTTTTTGACCAAATAATATGTAATCAAGTTCGTGACAGCACAAAGGACAGTTCAGGGTTAAATAGGTCTGCAGGATCTACCCATTCAATAATGTTGTTTAACACTTCTATACCCTTCTGACCAACCTGGTATGTCATGGGATGTCCCGTCCCGCGGGATCGTCAATGTAGGCCCTGGAAGAGGGGGTGGGAATTTGGGGAGCAAGAGACACGAGAAATGGAGACAAGACAGTGTCCTGATCAAGTCTCGTTTATTGGCGGCAATACAATGCCTTATATACGTTAGGAGGGGCAGGGGTTGGGCTAAGGCGGTGATGATCTCTCCGCAGTGGGCGTGGCCAGGTAGGTTTCGGTTTCTTCGGTCAGACGTCATGTTGCGCCTGCGCCATCAGATAGTGATTTTCGCGGGCGCGGGAAAAATGGGTGAAGAAGAAGCAGGAAGAGCGCCATCTTTTATGAGATAATAGTACAGGGAAGAAGATAAAACTAGGGAGGAGGTATAGAGTGGAAATGTATTTAGCTGAGGCGTCAATCGTCAATTATTACTCGCTATGGCCGGGGCGCGCAGCTCCGGACAATGGGACAATCATATCCTTCTAGCAATAATATATTGGGTATTTTTCCTACATCCTATAATTTTCATCTTTCTATACTTGAATTCAAATATTTCTCTTATTAGTATGAAAACCCACCTGCCTTTTATTTGTATTTGTTAAATATGTCTTTGCCCTCCCTTCTACATTCAACCTAAGTCAATTTTCAAAACATCTCTTTAAAATCTAACCTGTGAGTCTTTTGCTTCACTTAAATTTACTGAAATGGCAGAAAACAATTTATTTTCTATATTTCATGTGTTTAGCTTTTTGATGCCATGGAAGATTTATACAAGGCACATAAGAGCTAATGATCAAGATATTCACCATCCCAGGGCTTCAGTTTGCTTAAATGGAAAAGGAAAGTGCTGGGTGATAGAAGATTCCTAAGGTTCCTTTCTCCTCTAATGTTCTGTGATTAATTTGTCATTAGCAATAGAGGTCACATAGAAGTTCAAGATAGATCTGAATATTTTCCCAGCAATTAAATGAAATAAATTTTAAAGGATACAAATTAGTCTAGTCCCTATTTTAGCTCCACTGTGAAGTGTGAAGGAATAAAAATATTTTTAAACTTTTTTTATAGTTCAGGAACATGCTTTTTAAAAATTTTGGTGGGTTCTCACAACAAAACTACATTTCACCATCATAAATCAGCATACATAAAATACATATAAAAAAGCTACATTAAAAGATTTCTCAAAACAATACTTAACATTTTTAAGTTTGCTCAGATACTTTCTATTCGTTTCTATTTTGTTTTACAAATGCTCACTATACCCCACTAAACTGAATTTACAGTTCTCTAATGGATCAAGACTAGAAGTCTCAATATATTCATCAAGAAATCTTAGAGCTATTCCACTGAACTGAATTCAGAAAGTGTTTCCTTGAGATTTTTAAAAATAAACCTAAGTTAGTCACTGAAATTGGTAGAGTTCTCCATGCCCAGGAGAGCATGTTTCTTATTTTACACAAGAAATATATGAAAATATCCTTACCGTTTATTGCAATGGAGATCATAAATAGGGGTCTTAAATTGAATGGACTTGACCATCTCCCCAGTACGAAGTGAATACAGATCCACACAACAGTACGGTGGGCTTGTGCTAAAAAAGAAAAAAGAAAGAAAAATGTCATTTTTTTTAAAAGAAGAAACACCAATAATCTCTATAGTTTCTCATTAACATAATATTCAAATCTCTGATTAACAAGATATTAGTAAATTGATTCAAAACTTATCCCAAAAATGATCATAATACATCCCTTATTCTATGTCAACTTAGGAATGCAAAATTTGGTGAAGAAAAAAGTATCACTCACCAAATTAGTACTACACAGAAGAAAAGTGATATTGTTTAGGCCAGCACAGTTGCTCACGCCTGTAATCCCAGCACTTTGGGAGGCCGAGGCGGGTGGATCACGAGGTCAGGAGTTTGAGACCAGCCTGACCAATATGGTGAAACCCTGTTCCCACTAAAAAAACACAAAAATTAGGCAGGCATGGTGGCATGTGCCTGTAGTCCCAGCTACTCGGGAGGCTGAGGCAGGAGAATCACTTGAACCTAGGAGGCGGAGGTTGCAGTGAGCCAAGATTGCACCACTACACTCCAGCCTGGGCAACAGACCAAGAATCCATCTCAAAAAAAAAAAAAAAAAAAAAGAAAGAAAGAAAGAAAAATGACATGATTACACCAACAGATACAGAAAATAATCTAATAAACTTCAAAGCCTATTCATGATAAGAAACATTTCCTTAATATGATAAAGGGTACCAACCTTAAAACTAATGAACAACAACTAGCAAACACCCATAAAATATGAAAAGGTTTGACCCTAAAATCAGGATGTAGGAAAAAAATGCTCATTATCATAACTTCTATTCAACACAGTATAGAAGGTCTTATGTATAAGCCAAGAAAAGTAATTATTACAAGGAAGAAATAAAGCTGTCATTGTTTGCTAAAAACTTGATTGTATAAAAGCAAAAAATACCAATCTGTACATAGAAATATAATCATCTGTGCACACACACACAGAGGCAAATTCACAATAAAGTCCAACTGTTAGAATATATGGATTTACCAAGGTCACTAGATAAAAGTATAATATACAAACATCAGGTATATTTTCATAAATTGAGAACAATTAGTAAAAATTTTTTTAAAATCATATAAAATGACATTAAATATCAAAACCATTGACTATCTTGGAACAAATCTAAGGAAAGATTCATAATATCTTTACACAAGAAAGAATAAAATGGTTTTTAAAAAACCTATGTAGGCCGGGCATGATGGCTCACGCCTGTAACCCCAGCACTTTAGGAGGCCAAGGCGGGTAGATCACTTGAGGTCAGGAGTTTCAGACCAGCCTGGCCAACACAGTGACATCCCATCTCTACTAGAAATACAAAAATTATCCGGGCATGGTGGCAAGCACCTGTAATCCCAGCTACTTGGGAGGCTGAAGCAGGAGAATTGCTTGAACCTGGGAGGCGGAGTTGCAGTGAGCCAAGAATGTGCCACTGCACTCCAGCCTCGGCGACAGAGTGAAATAGTCTCAAAAACAAAAACAAAAACAAAAATACCTATGTAAAAGAAAATAACATGGCCTAAAAGCCTCTCTAAATTGATAGTTTAAAACCTCATCAAAAATATACCAGAAATTAGATCTCATTCTAGAATGTATATGGAAATGCATTCCACATAATAAGACTTATTGTAAAGGTACAATAAAGAAAAAACTGTGTTTTAGACAGAGGGACAGATAAAGAAATCAATGTTTCAACTAAAGAAAGTTTTTAAAAAGGAGCTAAATTCAATAAAAGGAAATAAAGGAATAAGGAAAAAGGAAATAAAAATGCAACAAGAATTCGATAAAATAAGATGAGTAAGCAGGTGGGGAATCAATAAAACAAAAACTTTGTTATTTTTAAAGATAATAGAATCAATAACTCTAGTCAAAGTGTTCAAAAAAGTAACAAGGAACAAACAAATAATATAATGAAGGAAATAGGAAATATTCTGATGACACAGACAAATGCCTTAAAATGTAGAGTGCCAAAACCAATCTACACATAAAGATAATTTGAATAGCCCACGATCTAAAAAGAAATTGAATTTGTAACTTCTTGCAAAGAAAATCCTTAAAAATGCCTTCATCTGTAATCTCTATCAATTATTCAAACAAAAAATTATACCTATCATACACAAACTCTTTCATAAGGTAGAAGAGTCATTTTCCAACCTATTTTACAATGTCAGTAGCACATATCCAAAAACTAAATAAATATATTGCAAGAAAATAAAACATATGCTTGTATATCTATATGTCTCATAAATATATGCCCAAAACTCATTAAGAAAATATTAGCAAATAGCTGGGCACAGTGGCTCACGCCTGTAATCTCAGCACTTTGGAAGGCCAAGGTGGGTGGATCACCTGAGGTCAGGAGTTCAAGACCAGCCTGACCAACATGGAAAAACCCTGTTTCTACTAAAAATACAAAAATTAGCCAGGGGTGGTGGTGCGTGCCTGTAATCCCAGCCACTCGGGAGGCTGAGACAGGAGAATCACTTGAAACTGGGAGGCAGAGGTTGTGGTGAGCCAAGATTGCATCATTGCACTCTAGCCTGGGTAACAAGAGCGAAACCCCGTCTCAAAAAAATAAATAAATAAATAAATAATTACCAAATAAAATGCAGCAATACAATACCAGTTGCACTTTATTGCAGGAATGAAAGGCTGGTGTACTACAGAATATCTATTAATGTAATTCACCATATTCATAGAAAAAAGGGGGGAACCACTATGATTATTACATTAGAAAGATGCAGTATGGCATTTTTAGGAATAAAAATGCAACACCCTTTTCAAGATAAAAACACTCAACAAACCATAATTAGAATTTCTTCTACCTTATAAAGTGCATCTATAAAAAAATCTACAGATATAAGAATAAACACCTTCCCCATAAGGTCAAGAATGAGGCAAAATTGTCTGCTTTTATCACTCCTACTCAACATTGTATAAGAAATCTTACCCAGTGCAGTAAGTACAGAAAAATAAATCTAAAGCATCCAGATTGTCAAGGTAGAAATAAAACCATCACAGATAACATAATCTATTTACAGATAACATTATCTACATAAAAAATCCCAAAGAATCTCTTTAAAAAGCTACTAGAACTTTACCAAGGTTGCAGAATTCAAGGTCTACATATACAATCATGTTTCTATAGAAATGAACAATTTGAAACTGAAAGTATTTGCAATCACATGAAAATATGAAATAATTCTATGTAAGTCTAACAAAATACATGCAAGATTTGTATACTAAGAACTATAGCATGCAGATAAAATAAATCAAAGACCTAAATAAATAATAGTAAATACCATGTTCTTGGATTGGGAGTTATAATATTCTTAAGAATGGCAAGTCTCCCCAAACTGATCTATATATTTAATAATCACAATCAAAATCCTACCAGGCCTTTTTAAAGACAATGACAAGCTAACTTTAAAATCTTTATGTAAATTAACATGATTCTTACATACGAGCATACCTAATTTACTGCACTTCACTTTACTGTCCTTTACAGATGTTGCATTTTTTTTTTTTTTTTTTTTTTTACAAATTGAAGGTTTGCGGGAACCCTGTGTCAAGCAAGTCTACTGAAGCTGTTTTTACAATACCACGTGCTCAACTGGTATCTCTCCACCACATTTTGGTAATTCTCATAGTACTCCAAACTCTTTCATTTATTACTGTATCTGTTAGAATGATCTGTGATCAGTGATCTTTGATGTTACTATTGTAATTGTTTTGGGGCACCACAAACTGGACCCATAGAAGATGGTAAATTTAATCAATAAATGAGTGTGTTCTGAAGGCTCCACCTACCAGCTGTTCTCCTGTACTCTCTCCCTCTCCTCAGGCCTCCTTCATCACTGAGACACAGCAATATTGAAAGTAGATCAATTAATAATCCTACAATAGCCTCTAAGTGTTCATTTGAAATAAAGAGTTGCACATCTCTCATTTCAAATCAAAGGCTACAAATGATTAAGCTTAGCAAGGAAGACGTACTGAAAGCTGATACAGGCAGAAAACCAGACCTCTTACACCACATAACCAAGTCATGAACACAAAGAAAAAGTTCTTGAAAAAATTTAAAGTGCTACTCCAGTGAACACATGAATGAGAAGAAAGTGAAAGGCTTATTGCCGATATGGAGAAAATTTTAGTGGTTTAGACAGAAGATTAAACACAACATTCCCTTAAGCCAAAGCCTAATCCAGAGCAAGGCCCTAATAATACCCATTGCAGTGCTTAAATGACTTAGCTGGATCCCTACCCCATTTTTGTTGGCCAATGCAATGCCTATGTGATATGGGTAAATTCCTAGTCAGCTTTAACTCCATTTATTTTTAGGAAACAGGATGTCAGTGGTCAGAAGTTTCTTCTTAGGTCTAAACCAGCTAAAGCTGATGAAAATCCACAATGGCAGCTTACTCGACCTCTGAAGAACCTCTAGCTTCATTATAATCCAATTTCCATGCTAAGTGACACTCCCATCAGCACCATGACAGTTGACAATCACCGTGACAATGACCAGAAGAGACCAGAAAAGCATAGGAAATAGGTGGCTCCTTGATTCCAGGAAAATCTCCATCCCTTTCCAAGAAAAACATATTCCTCTCCTGGCTCTTAATGCCCAAACCCTTCATTAAAGATGCCCTATATCTGTAACTTTCAGGTTTCTCAGGAGCTGAGAAGTTAAGCTAAGTTCCCACTTCTCCAATTCCAAGACCACTGAATAAAGCCTGCACTGCCTGACACTCAGTTTCAGTTTGGTGTGTTGGTTTCATGACACTGAACAGGAAAGAGCCCCGTATGGGGTAACCAGGACTCTCCATCAGCAAAAAGATTATGATTCACTGAAGTGTCAGATCATCAGCATTTTTTAGCAATGAAGTATTTTTTAATTAAGGTATGTACTTTTTTTTTTTTTTTTTTAGACATAACGTCATTACACACTTAAGAGACTACAGTATAGTATAAACATATCTTTTTTGGTTTCCTTTTTGTTTCAGATACAGGGCCT